ATTAAGTTTGATAACTTTTTTTCAGTATCAGAGGCAAGTTGTTGGAGAAAGGTAATAGATATGGATTTATTAAATATAGCAGCTTTAGGTTAGTCCTTATTAAAGATTGAGAAATCAAGAATAGGATGTGTCCATTTAGGTTTGAATTGTATATTAGTTGAAGCTGGAAAGTAATCATATAAGTCAGTAAAGAAAAGAAAAAATAAGTTTTTGACATTATGTTCTGTATCTTTAAGTAATGTTGTACAGTTTTTGACTATACATGTGTAAGATTACAACAGCTCCAAAACAACCTTTGGTCTATTATAAATATTTTTGAACATCCTTAACCTAATGTTAATAGTCAAGATAAATATACCTTTAATTTTAAAATTATCCAACTATTTCTACAAATTGCTGTCTTTATCAGAGCTAATAGTAATATATCATAGCCAAATACTATCTATTATCAGCTTTAACTTTTTGAACTTATTCTCCAATATCACCCTAAATATACAACCTTTAATAAACAACTTAGACAACTAAATTTACTTTATCTTGAACAATTTGCACCTCAGATAACACTATACTTCTTAAATAGCTACACCTATTACCAAGAATTTTTTATTTGTCTAAAGTCAGAAAACTGATTTAGTTTATTGAACTTGAAAATTCTATTATAGAAAATCATTATCATCACTCTCTTAAATCTCAATACCAACAGCAAGGAACTAACCTCTTTGCATATAATATATACAATATTTCCAAAAAACATAAACCTTGGCTAATTATTTTTAATAATGTGAAAATTATTATAAACAAAATTTGTAAACATTTTACAGATTCTAATGAAATATCAATTACATATTGGCAATCAGATATTAATATAAATAATACTGATTACTATCTATTTTAACAGATTAATCTTGTTTCTTGTTCAGGCTGTCAACTTAATTTACAATAAATAACTACATTATGCATTATTAATACTTCATCTATTACATCTGCTTAATTTTTTGGTAGAATTATTTCAAATTCAGTTAAAATAAATATAAATTATTTAGACCTTCTCAGCTCTGCTGCAATTAAATAGTCTTTGCCAAATTTTTTATCACTACTATTGTCTTTTATTCCTATCTCTAATTCCATCTCATCTGCAATTTTTGAAGCAAGTGAAGCAACTAATAAACTTAACCAAATAGTTTCTAATAATCTACTATACAACTTATTTAACTTTTATACTAATAGTTTAGTAATTGATAAAAGTACAAATAATTGTACTATAAATATCGGCTAGGTTCAAGTAAATTCTAAATAATCAAGTTATTCACAAATTTACTGCCAAAGTTCACCTTTAGCTATTATCTTACAAAACTGAACTTTTCTTTATTCTGTCTGCTATTTCAATTACCTCCCAAAATTCTATAATTAACATTTATACAGATTTCCAATCCATAATATCAAAATTTATTCAACTTAATTAATCATCTCTAAATTCTAATAAACTCTTTAAATTTAACACCTAACCATTATGGCATATCTTACTAAATATTATTAAATCATACAAACTAAATATTATTTTTTATAAAATTTAAGCCCATTCAGACAATACTCTTAACAACCTAGCAGACTTACTTGCTAAGTAATATACAAATGAACTCTTATTATACTTTAACTACATGAATATTTACAAACCATATTATTTATTATTCTTTAAAACAGAAAAATTTTCTATTGAACTTCCTACTAGATATTTTGTTAAAAGTATCTGTAAAGCTTACAACCTTGCACTATTGTTATCATAAAAACAAAATAATAAATAGACTCCATTAGTTCACTATAATAATTAGAATTCAATCTGATTATACTTTAATCATAATCAAAAATCTACTCACAATATTACTAATTTTAAATTTAACCAATCCAAATTATTTAAAATTAAAATACTTCTTAATAAACTACCTACTCAATATCTCTATCATAAAATCTATCCTCTAACCTTTCATGATGCTAATTGCTTTTACTGCAATTCAATTATATTATTATTATATTAGTATACTTGTGTCAATGCTTCTTTGTTTAATGATATTATTTCTAATATAATAACTAACTATGTAAATTCAACCAATTTAGACTTTTCTAACAACAGAACTAAAAAACTTATTCAAAAAATTAAAGACCATTCAGCTTTTTAAGAAACATCTCTTTTTTCATTCTCACACTATCTAGAAATTACTCTTAAAGATCTTATTCTTTATTTCTAATTAAAACTATTTAGGATCTAGGAGTTTCATACAAACTAGCATCAACAATCATGATTAATATTCTGCTTAAAATCAATAAACAAATCTACAAACAATTATGGAAACTCTATTATATTAATTTTTCAAATTGAAAAAAACAACAACAAATAACATATACATATACTGAACAACAAATATCATCCTTTCATAGTAAAAATAATATATATATTTATCAAAATTTTACATATTTTTGTTTCTGTGATCAATCTAACCAATTTCACTTGTTGAACAAGCTTTTAGAAAAATTAGTACTTGGGCCACTTTGTGGATCAAGTATTATACAATTTCTAATTTTTTTTTTTTTTTTTTTAAGTTAAAGTTCCTATCTTGGGTGTTGTGATGTTTTTATTCAAGTATATTAGGACATAGCATGTTACCAAGGGCTCACCTTATATTGGAGGTTACAACTAGCCACATGTGCACTTTTGGTGCCTAATTTAAGTAGTCTGCTTACATATTACTATATAAGTTCTATACTAGTTGCCATACTTGCAAGCCAACTAGGGGTCTTGTCTATTTAAACCCTTTGCATATGCAGTCCTTCTTGTATCACAGGAACATTTCAAGATGCCATTCATTCAAGTTCCTGATGCTTATCGGTATCCTTAGGACTACTTTATCCTTGATAGGAAACTTACTAGAGCCTTTATGTCCTACATATATAGACCTAGTTTTATGTAATATACTATAGTTACCTAACACTTGCAGTCACAGGGGTTACCTGTTTAACTGCTACGTTACACTATTTCTACCTTTGTAAAATTCACTAGAACCCCAGTATCTATCTTTCCAACATCTTCTTCATCATCCTCTACTAACTGCAACTCAGAACTGTTGGTCTTATTCCAGACTATCAATTCAGATGGCCTAGTATGATATACTTCTGTATCCTTTTCTTCTAGTGAATCTGGTAACCTAGTTGGTTATATGCTCCTTTACACATATTTGTCATTCAGTTTTAATCTTTGGTTCTTATAAAAGTGTTTTATGAGCTTTAATTGGTCTGATAATATTGTCAAAAGTTCATGCTATTTCTTTACTCAGGAATTTTTAAGTGGGTTTTTGTCATCTTGATTTCTTAGTTTTCTACACTCAGTGGTCTTATCGTAGGTTTGCACTAAAGTCTTATGCAATACTGATTAATATTCCTCTATATATATGTAATATTACACTTCGCATAGATGCCTTGAGCTTCCAAAACTGAGGGGACCTGACCTGATGTACCTGGGTAACAGCCACATGAGGCCAACTGATCGACAGAAGACAGTTACTGTAATACAGATATAATTTCCAAATTTCGTCATAGGTGAGATTTGAACCTTAGACCTGCTATTTGGAAGATAACAACCCAACCACTATACTAGGATTACTATCTCACAATTTCTAATTTTATTTTAACTATAAATGATATTATCTAAATAAGTTTTTGACCATTAGTAGGTTTAGGTTACAGATAAATTAGATTTATTTAATTGTTTAAACTTTTATTCTTGCATGTAATTTTCCTTTTATTTGTATTAGTACAAATAACAGAAATATATATACTGCATATATGTTACTATTTTATAAATTACTTAATAAAGATATGAGCAAAACTTCACCTTAAAAAAAAAATAATAAAAATAATTATAATTAATAGTTTGTAAAATATTATCAATGCATCAAATTAGGCATATTTACTTAAATAATTAATTAAATTGACCAATCAGAAGTGATCACATCGCACATCTTTAAAATCAGAGTTAGAAATTAAAAAAAACTAGTTTATAATTAAAATTGCCTAATGAAAACTTTTTGTTAAAACACTAAATGCATTTTCTTATGCTGATTTTTGAGAAATAAGTAATCTATAACAAAACGAACATTTGTTTTGATCCACCTGATCTTGAAATCTAATTTGTAGTTCTGGAAATCTGCGCCACACAATCAAGGCGTGCGATCACACCATGCATAGATGGGGGTGACTACTAAGTAAAAAATATTATGTGATAAATGGCACGCCCTAACTACTAACTTATTAACTACTAGAAGCATAAAATGTTAAATTAATGGCCTCAGCCTCTGAATAATCTGGTTATATATGTCGCAGATCAAATTTTTCAGGGGCGTTACAGACGGAAATTGCCGAAACTACATTTTTGATATTTCTGTTATAAAAACAATTTAGGTCATCAAGGTGCATAGAAGTATGAGTCCGTCACTTCGCTTCGGACAATAAAGGTTGTGGTTTTTTTTTTTACATTGAGTATATACTCTATAGATAAATTCGTTTTTTATTAATTTTATTCAAAAAAAGTTTAAATCTACAATTGAAAAACAAAAGTATATAAGTATTAAATTTTCATTAACAATTACCCAAATAAATGGTGCCAAAATTTCACTTACAGTACACTCATTCATGATTCACTCAGTGTTAGTAGAATATAGAAATAATGTATTTTTCATATTTTTCCTGCTAAACGTATATAACCAACAAATTTGAAAACATACCCAGTATCATTTATTTTACCTTAGTGAAAGGAGGTAAAATAACTCTATGATTAGTATTTATAACAAGTTCTTGAAGTTGGGGCGAATTAAATAAAAAGAGCTTTTAAGAGAACGAGGCATTATTTTAGGGCTGTGGAAAAACATCTTTCCTCATTGTCATATTCTTTTTGTCTAATCTTCACGCGCGGTACATGAAGATCTTTACTTACTTTGGACTTTGAGTATCTTATGGTATTCCCGTGACCAGCCTAACGACTATCCCTACTGTCGAGGTTCCGCTTAACCTTTTGACTTCATAGACTTCGTCCAAGCCATAATCATGCTGTGTTTCATCATTATTAGTTGCATATGGTGACACATAAATATCAGAGTAATAGAACTGGACAAGATATTGCAGCAACTCTAGCCTAGTTCCCCGTCAAAAAAAAAAAAATAATAAAATAAGATAATGTCAAACTACTCTAATAAAAAGAGGGATAAGCCACCAGTTAATGGCAACGGTCACGCATTTAACGAAGGAGCAAACGGCTCTGGCTCAGAACTTACTACTGTCTTTCCCAACGTGAATGGAAATCAAACCTATTCAAATGAGGGAGAGCGACAAGAACCAACATCAAGGTACATCGCGAGACCCAATTTTGGCTTGATCGACTTCACACTACTGGACACTTTAGGTATACTTACTTCAATAGTATTTTATCTCTTTCAGAAGAATTCTACTCGTATAGGTTTACGTACATTTGGAAAACAAATGGGGTCTTTGCCTTGAAAATGACCCTACGGAGACATAGTAATTACTATATCCCATAAGGTCATTTTCAAGGCAAAGACCCCAAATATTCTTATTAGATTATTAGTTGGAATAAATTTTGAATCATAATAATGATTGGACTAAAATATTATTCATTCTGTCTGCACCTTAAAATGAATGAAATTATTGGATTGTTTGATATAGATTACTGATCTTTTCTTTCATTAATGAATGATAGGTACTGGGACGTTTGGTCGAGTGTATCTTACCAAATTTAAACATACAGAGAATTATTATGCAATGAAAGTATTGAAAAAACTTGAAGTTGTACGACTCAAGCAAGTGGAACACATTAACTCGGAAAAGCTAATCCTTAGTCAAGTTCACCACCCATTCATCGTGAATTTGTGAGTTCATCTTATTTATTATTTCAATATTTATTAAGCAAATTATCAAGGAACTAGATTATGAAAAAAAACAAATTCAGGTTTTGCACATTTCAGGATGATCGAAATTTATATATGCTACTTGAATACGTTATTGGCGGAGAACTTTTTTCCCATCTACGGAAAGCCGGGCGGTTTACCACTGATATGACACGATTTTATGCAGCAGAAATCGTTCTTGCTATTGAATATTTGCATTCTAAAGATATAATTTATCGAGATTTAAAACCAGAAAACTTATTATTAGATTGTAGAGGCCATGTTAAAATCACGGACTTTGGTTTCGCAAAAAGAATCGAGGATCGGTAAGCGATATATGCAACCTTAATCACATCTAAGAATATATCTCGGCTTAATTATTTGGATTTCAACTTATAGCACCTGGACGTTATGTGGCACGCCAGAATATCTGGCGCCGGAAATTATTCAAAGCAAAGGTCACGGAAAGCCCGTGGATTGGTGGGCGCTAGGAATTCTAATATTTGAAATGTTAGCAGGGTAAGAAAAAATATATATATTCTTTTTTTTAAAAAAAAAGAAAAAAAAGTCGGGAGTTTTTATATTAACTGAAAATTTTGTTAGGTATCCACCATTTTTCGATGACAATCCATTTGGCATTTATGAAAAGATTCTTGCCGGAAAGATACAATTTCCAACGCATTTTGATCCAAATGCTAAGGATCTCATTAAACGTCTACTAACATCTGATCGTACAAAACGACTGGGTAACCTTCGGGGTGGTAGTGAAGACGTGAGGAAGCATAAATGGTTCCGTGGTGTAGATTGGCAAGGGTTATACGAAAGACGTGTACAAGCACCGATTGTTCCACCATATCAACATCCAGGTGATACTAGTAATTTTGAAAAATATCCTGAACCTTCAGATGAAGAGAATAATGTTAGTAGTCCAGGTATTTTACCGGGCGTTGATCCTTATCGACATTTGTTTTTAAATTTTTGAAGTTGATCATAAAATTCAAAGAAAAAATCAATCAAGAATGCAAAAGCCTACACTAGAGTTTATAACCGGGTTATAGTAAACCGGGTCACCCGTGTCAAAACGGTTCAACCGGGTCAAAAATTACAACTCGGGTCAAAACGGTTGAATATGTAACCTCTAAAAATCTGTCAGAAAACATAAAATTTAACACATTATTATTGCATTACGGCGCATTTGTAAACTACTACTGGTAGTGAGTCAATTTAATTGGCGTATACATATTAATATAAGAGTTATTATGATAATTGTGAAATATGTCCTGATTTAAATTATGATATACTACTGCACCCGAATCTGATGTCTAAACTATCTTTCCACTATTCAATCCATCTTTCCACTATATCTGCTTAATTTCCCTAATTCCACAAATGCGCCGTAATGGTATTGTGAAAATAAACACCTTTTTTTTTTTCTTACTAATTTATCTAAATGCTCAATCCTGCTAATCGATTTAAAAAAAAGTTGCAAACTTTCGGAGGCTACCATACGACAATCTATTGCGAAAATTTTGTTAAAAATTTTCCTTTGTATAAGCCTTCATTATTATTTTCTTTGCTTTGCTAATATGTAATACACATCCCGGTAATTCGTAGCGCCGGGGTTCGGATTTATGTAACGTGATTGCGTTGCATGAATTGCGTGATAGCATAAAATTAATTAAAAGTCTAATATATCGATATATGTTGTATCCCGAATTTAATCTTAAAGTCTTAATTCTGCCTAGAGGTTGTACCCGTCGGAAAGAATCTCTACCTGGGTATATTAAATTATCCGGGTATCCGGGTAATTTATTATAGCCATATAATAAAAATGTCTACCCGGGTACAATCTCTAATTCTGTCAAAACAATTCACAAGGTTCCCATCCGGAGCAGCCCGATTCTGAATTGGGCGATTCGTATGACTACGTATTGTTTACGAAATAAATTTGGTTGGTACACAGCAAAACTATGCTCTGAGTACGTTATATTTTACATATGCTCAGAGCATGGTTTTGCTGTGTACCAACCCAATTAAAATACCCACAATTAATAATTGTAGTTAAAAGTTGTCTACATTTTGCGCGCAATGATTTTTAGCTTATTTGAGCCTAATAGAAAAACTATAATAAAAGATCAATAGAAATAGATCTCTTTTGAACTTTTAATAGTACCTTCAATGATTTGAGCACTTCCCATCGTAACCAACATACCATATAGCGTTGCATATAGTGACCAGGGTGACCCGATCATTTAAGCAACCTGCACATGTTTGGCTTTAGGAAAATGAGTGCTTGTTACGTTGTGTACGTTTCCTTGCGGTGCTTATTAGGTGGAAGTACCTAAATGATGCTCCAGTCAAGTATAATAGCCAAGGAAATAAAACGCTAGTAAAAGTCGAATTGCACACGTGGAGTTAGAAAATTTTCGTATTTCAGATCGACCACATATCCCTACTATTTAACAACTTTATTAAATCGACAATAACGACATAAACTCGCAACGAGTACTACGAAGAGACAATACACTAACTGCACCATCGATCCTAAGTTTATGTCTGTGGCCCTGTACTAAATTGATGTCGAATCATAAAGTCTCTTCCAGGTTACAACACTGTTCACAGTTTGTATTTATACTATCGTAGATTCGGACTGAATCATTTTTTTCGAACTCCGTCGAAAATTTAAAAAAGATCAAAAATTATAAAATGTGCCTATGGTGTTGAACACCATACAAAATTTTATTAATAAAATTTAGGATTAGGGTGCAGTTTTAGAATAAAGGAGAGTTTTATATATTATAATGTAGATTATATATAAGGTCCCGATTTCAGTTTTCGTGAGGTTTTCATGGGTCCTAAACATTTTTACTTAGAGTATCCGATTCCATTTACTTAGTATGTTTTTGAGAAATAGCACTTACGGTGTTCAGCACCATAGGTGCATTTTAGTAAACTTGAAAAAGATTATTTAAACCGTTTTCAACCGGTTCGCCGATTTCAGATTATACGGGTGAAAAAATATCGAATTTATGTAAATCGACAATTTTTAATGCGGTGTTTTATTTGGGCCAGACAACACAAATTTGAACTGTTGGTAAGTATAGGACTAGCAATACCAGTCTAGTGAGTTGGGTTTAGAGGGCTATGCTTATACCAAATTTTGCAAGGAAAACTTTTTATTAGTATGCAGAAGGCAGTTGCATAGGCAAAGTTTTGAGTTATGGGAGATTTTTGGCTTATTTTTGTTTCTTGAACTTTTTTCACGTTACACCTGATTGGCTAGCGAAATTTGCCATTACTGATCACGTTATATTGCGTTACACCAAATCGTGCATTCTGATTGGCCAATCTTGGTAAATAGATATAAATAAATATTTTTGCCAAATCAAATCACTGTCCCTGCTACACAGACAGACATATTAATAAGACGATAGATTCATGCTACATGAAATGTTAAATAAACTCTCATTTATGTACGCAAAAGATCTTTTTCCTTGTCCAGTATCTTGTTTTTATGGTTTAATGATTTCACACCTCCTTGTTTATGATCACTGTATAGGTATTTTTATCTCCAATCGTAAATAATGGTGTTCAATATTCTCGTCTTTAATGCATCATTTACACGCGCACTATGATGGATACCTTTTACTTCGTCTTTTTTTTTATTGTCGACGTTTTATTGTTTTCCTAATTAAGGTAACTAAAGGTAGATAATATATTTCACGCTGTGACGCATCTTTGGTGGATGGGTTTAAACGGTGCTATTTATGACAAGTTTATGGAATGCCACAGATAATAAGATCGATCAAAAAAACAAAAATTTTCAGATCCTATATCACAAAAAGTTTGAGAGTTTTGGATGTATGTTTGTCACTTCTTGCATTTATTATTATTATTTTGTATTTTTTTTTTCCTTACTCTACAAACTTTAATAATGGTAAACTTTTGTTGTTGGGCTTTAGAGACGTGGTAACATATATGTGACTATATTGGTTGATTTATTCTGTTATGGAAAAGCGTGATAGCAAATAAAATACCTCTGTTCCATCACCGAATGATTTAATAATCTGAGACGTACGTGACTATAGTGATTCATGCTGTTTCGAGGTTGCGACACTTATCTATTTTTTTCATGCATGTTATTATTTGTAACCATTAAATATGAAAGAACCTGATCTCATAGTCTCATAATAAATTGCATAATTGCGTAAGCAAGGACTTGTTTGCATAATACGTATCATTATTTATATTTATATGATTCACAACTATTCTTGACATTTTTGAGATACAAAAAAAATTTAATTTGGCAATTAAAAATTGTTTTTTTCTATTTCACATATTAAAAAGTGATGAATATTACACAATAAATATAATTAAACTATAAAGAAAATAGAACGAATATAAATAGTTAGCAATTCGTTTTATTCTGTAATATCGTGTCGAGATAAGACTTTATGTAGCATATATAGAAGAGATAAGTATATCACATGAGCAAAACTTTTTATTATTCGATTTAATAATTAATTAACTTTACCCTTGATACTTATTGTATGTATTTAAGTATGAAGTCCCCCCATAAAAATAAAACGGTATGTAAGAATTACAACATTGTATATTAAATGAAATATTATTATGACATATTAATACTATTGTTATCACACTATCAGTAAGCATATTTTTTCATTTGATTAAAGATGACGTAAAACGTAGTATTTCATATGTTATGTGATACAACATCTTTTTGATCAAATATAAATGTCTCAAGAAATTTTCGGTAAACGCAAATATGAAACGCAAAAATATCTCTGAGGACGGATCGAGAAAATAAAAAGGTGACTAGAAAGGTTCGTGTTTACCCGACTCTTCGAGAAGCAAATATCTTGAAAAGATGGTTCGGGACTGTGAGGAATTGCATCAGAACGATGACATTAAGAATTATCAGTGCATTAAAAGCAATTGTTTAAAGAATTAGAATTCTAATCCGGATAAATCCGTCAACCATTTATCCATATCTTTACCATTGATATCCGAATAATCCGACAAATATTCGGGATATAACAGCAGAGACCGTTGATGTTACACGACTGATCCTTCACCCGGTGTGCAACGCATAAAAAAATTATTTTACAATATACCAACACCATTATAATAAAATGGTGTTGGATTATAATCATAACATGCACTAGCGGAATGATCTGGTATTGTGAAGTAACTTTTTTATGCGTTGTACACCGGGTGAAGGATCAGTTGTGTAGCATCAACGGTCTCTCCTGTAATCTGGATATCAATAGTAAAACGGATATCCGAATATATTCAGATCTGGATATCCGATAGATAAATGGATAAACGGATAATGGATTGGAACTCGATAAAGAATGATTATATAAAATCTTATTCAGAATTAAATTGGTTAATCGATACTCCTTACGAAGTCAGATCATATGCTATCAGGCAATACAAATCAACGTATAAAACTTGCAAGGAAAGATACGGAAGGTGAAATTCAGGAGCAAGAAGGATACTTTACATTCACTGATGGTATATGCGCGTGACGTTAATCAATTGTATGGTGTATGTTCGTTCTTAAAGAATTTCGTGGCTTCTGAAACATTGCCTGCGATAGAGAATACTTTGGTGATAACATTGGACAAACTCGGAAGGTTCCATTTCCACGTATCAATTCCATTGGAGGATTGTGAGAACCAAACGCCTGTCAATGGTAGGGTCGTGGCTTTGGATCCTGGTGTTCGAACGTTTATGACATGTTATGGCCCAAGCGGTAGATTTGTGGAATGGGGTAGTAACGACTTCAACATCGTAAGCTTGCGTAAACGGACAAATTACAAAGTGATCTGTATATCAAAAGCGGGAAGAATACAAAAGAATAAGATATCTGTTGCGAAGAAAGAAGCGCAGGATCCGGTTCAAGATTCGTACTTGGTCGACGAATTGCATCACAAATTGGCTAAATATCTCGATCGATAGCAAACAATATTCATACCAACATTTGAGACTTCAAATATGGGATCAAGGCCACGAGAAACATGCTGACGTGGTCACGTTGTCGTCTGAACACAAAACATTTCGATTGTAACATTATAGAATGTGACGAGGTGCGCACTTCTAAGACCTGTGGAAATTGCGGATGGGTGGATAAGAACCTCGGAGATTCGTTTGTGTTTTGTGTGGAATAAGCATAGACAGGGACTTTAATGGGGCGCGTAACATCCTATTGAAGCACATGTCCGAGTCAGATCGTCTTCTGGAGATCCGACGTTAGGGATTCGTAATTTTTTTACCAATTTCCAGGTCGGATCCATCGGATTTAGGCCGGCATTTAGCAATGCAAGTCATCCATTTGTGGGCCAAAAGTATCAACTGGGCAATTTTACTTAATGAGTGGGCCATGACTTCATTATAGTGATTTTGGGCAAAGTTAGTTAATTCTGGTCCTGCCGATCATGGTTCCGAGGTATTCCGACCCGGAATTTTGGTGACCCCTCTGTATGAGTTTGGTCGTAAGGTGAATTACCCAAAGATCGACCGTAGAGTCCGATGTTTGTTTATTGATGTTTATCATTGTTATTAGTATATATCAATACCGTAATTATATATATCGATATAATTTATACAGTATTAGTGCATAAATATACATATTAGCCATTATTATAATTAGATTATCGTTATCGGCCATTGTATTACAATTTATCGATATATTAGGTTATTTTAGAAGTAGATTAAGATATTGGTTTCACAAGGTCTATTGTAAATATATGATGTATGATATATTGTTCTTTCAAGATTTACTTTATATAAACAAGAAAATGGTAATTCCTGAGCATAGAAATTTATAATGAACTAGACTTTTTTATACGTATTTTTAGTATTAGTACAAATTAAAGTCAATACGTATAAATGAATTGTAAAATTTTACACTTAAATTTCGTACTGTATCAAAAGAGCAGTTATAGATATACCTTGCGCGAAATGATAAATAATTACATCTGCGATTTATACATAATGACATCCTTTTCTCGTGCAAGACAAAATGATTGACTAAGAAATTTTAATGTCCTATGCAGGGCTTCAGACACTATAGTGATATGCCGGCCATTTAAAAATTGTCGTTCTTGATATATTTTATATTGGAATTTAATTGGACAGAATAACAATTTAACGCATGCATATCATATTATTGCATAATTGTGTATATAAGATATTCGATTTATTCGATTAGATCGATATATACAATAATATATTCGATTAATAAATTATTCATACAATATGATAGATTCTAATTTGATGGATCAAAAACGACACTTCAAACAATTGGCATCGACGCAGTAAATGGCCGGCATATTACTATAGTGTGGTCCTATGATTTGTCAGATATAAATCTTTTTTTTTAATTAAGCGAAATGAGAGACCTTACTAAATTTAGTCGATTAACCCCTGGAATTATGATAAACTTGGTCTTATGTAGTGAAATTTTAATAAGAACCCGATAAATAACTATAATATACAACAGTTTTATGAATTTACTTCACCTCTGTAATTAAATTTTTTATAGATCAACGAGTGATAATAAAAAAACATATAAAATTCAAACTGTAATAACTCTTGAACCAGCAAGTTCACAAATAAAAATTACATTAATTCGGTTCATTTTAGCACGCTCTTTAAAGTAACAATGCATTTATTTGTTTAGAGCATGGCGGGTGTCTCAATTTTTTAATAAAAATATCAAAAACGTAACTTCAAATTTTGTTTATCGTATTATATTGTATATTTAGTATTATGCAATAGTGATCGATAAAAAGTTCAAAGTTACGTTTTGAAATTTTTTTTTATTAGCTATAAACAATAAAAATAAATAACAAAGGCATTGTTACTTTAAAATGCATGCTTAAATACAAACAAATATAATTTTATTTGTATAAATTCATTAATTTATAGTTTTTTTTTTGTTTTTTTTTATTTTTAAAGGTCATACTTTATGGCAGTTATTTTATTAACATATATGAGGTTAGTTTACAACTATTTTTACAGAAATGAGAATACAGTTAGTCACATATACAACTTTTGGTTGCCTATTTAAGTAGTCTGTTCTTGGGTTCTATACTAGATGTTGTACCTATGATCTACTAGAAGATTATTTATTTAAACTTTCTGATCATCTGTTTTGTTAATTATCTAACTACTACTATATCTTTCATATATATTGAATCAGTATATTGTTTGAGCAACTTAGTACCTTTTGGTTTTTAGATCATTACACATTTTAGAATATAACATTTGTTAATAAGACTCAGAGATCTTTTTTATTAATTATTTACTTACTTTACAGATTATTAACAAGAACTTGTTTTTGTTTATACTTTAATATTTATTTTATAATATATCTCTAATATTTTTAGTATATTCTTAGTTTGCTCTTAAACTTCTAATCCAAATAGTTCAGAAAAGTTGTAACCTGTTTTTGGTATATCAAGTTCAGTTAATATTTTTTTTTTTAATTTGATCTAGTAATTTAATTGGTACTATTTCTCATCTAAAGGTTTTAATTGTTCAATTTCTTCATATTAGTATCTATCTTTTAGATTTATCTTTTATAATAATATCATTAAAAATTTTGATTATTTTTCTATTTAAATCTTTTCAAATAAGTTTTAGTTTATTTTAATTTTATAAATTTATACAATTACAAAAACTTATTTTGGATTTGTATTATCTAGTATTATTTGTATTTTTCTATATAACTAAGATTATATTAATATTTTATAACCTGTCAGTTATACTAATATGATTATAGTTACAGATATCTTATTTCAATTGATTGACAGAATACTGCTACTGCAATACTGTCTATATATTATATAGATAATTGTTTAAAATTTTCATGATTAATAAGTTTTAAACTTACAACCTATTATTTAAAAAGTTGATAACTTATCTATTTCACTAAGGTATTATATTTTTATAATTTGTTTATTATTATTTTACTATATGATTAAACAAAAGTAAAAAACTAAAAAGACTATATATAAGTTATAAAAACAGTTGAAAAAAGAAAATAATAAAATATATTTAAAAAAGTAAATAAGATAAAAAATAAAAGAATAAATAAAATAAATTATATTTGTAAAATAATAGAAGAAATAATACTTACAATAGCAAGTAAGCATATATTAAAAAAGAAAATATATAATATAGTAATAAATAAAAAAATAGTTATAAATTATTATAATAAAAAGAATATATTATAAAATTCTTAAAACTAATCAAATATATAAAAATAAAAAGAAATTAAGAAGTAACAAAGAAAAAAAATAAAATAAATAAGAAATTTAAAAAAATAAACAAAGAATTAGATATAAAATTTTTAAAACTACATAAATAATAACTAAATACTTGAATAAAAAACATAAAAAATTAACAAAAAATAATAAAAAAAAAGAAAAAAAAATAATAATAAGAATAAAAAAACAAATAAAAGAAAATATTGATAAGAGATATAAAATAATAATAACTAGTTTCTTAAATAAACTATATAAAATAATAGTATTAACAGATTTATTAAGAAATAAAAAAGATGATAACTCTAGTAAAAAAGTTAAAAATAATAAAATAAAAGTAACAGAATATTATAAAAAATAATTTAAAAAAAGAATAATAAAATTAGAAAGTTTGTTAAAAAAATAAAAAGAAATATACAGATTACAAAAGTATATTAAAGAAAAATAATATAGCAAAATAGAAGAAAAAATTTAAAAAAAGTAGAAAAATATGCTAAAAAAATTAAAAATAGAAATAACTTTAAATATATTGAATATTAATCAAATAAGCAAAAAAAAATACAAAAATATTTAATTCCAAGCAGAGCAGAAACAAAAAACACAAAATACGACCAAAACAGAATAGAAAACAGTTCTTGGGCCTTTAAGGAAAAAGAGTTTATATTCAAAAATATATAAACAATAATAGAAGCATAACAACAAAGAGGTATCTCTAACAGACTAAACTTGCCTTTAGAAAAATTTTCTTTATTTTTAGTATAAAATTCGAAAGTTTGGAAAATCACATTTAACTCTAAAAAACAAAAAGAAAACATATGACTGACGAAACAACAACAACAAATAACAAACAACAAAATTACATTTCTAATTAGGAAATAGATAGATAGATAGTAGCACAACACAAGCTGCACATGAACAAATCAAAGAAAAAAGCATACAAGATAGAAATACAACAAACAAATCAAATAGATTAGGCTATTGACACAAACATTATGTACTACATTAAGGAGGCAGGTAATAAAAATCAAAGATATTTAAATTCCGAATTGTTGAACCAAATTCTAACAACACCTGCAAAAGAACCAAGCAATATAGAGCATATAGCAAAGAACTTAGCAATAAACAACCTAAATCATATTACAATAAGTGATGTATTACTTTATAGACAAATTCTTAAGGCCTTAAGCCTAGCAGAATTAAGCTGGCTTGAAAAAAATATAATAGACAAATAGGTACAAAGACTTAAACTGATGAATCAAAACCCAAAATTAGTTGAATATATTACAAATATGAACAAAGAAAGAATACTTAAGGAAGAGAGAAAAATGAAAAGAATAGAAAAACTGAATAGCATAAAAAAGATACAAGCTTCAATAACAAAGAAAAGACATCAAGACATAGCAAGAGAAAAAATACTGCAAGAGAAACTAATTCAAATAAAAATAAAATCATTGACCAAATAGAGGAGCTTAATCTTAACATATAACAAAATATACAACAAAGAAATTTCTAATCAAGCACAAACCAAACTTTTACAAACAAATCAAATGAAGTAGAAGAAACAAGAGGAAAAAAAAAAAAAGACACAGAAGCTTCAAGAGACAGCATTATTTGAGATATTAAGAAAAATATAAAAAACATCAACAAAAAAATAACAGAATTAAGAGAAAAAAACATGACCTATAAAGATTCAATCTTTACAGACACAATTGAATACAGCCAATGGTTACCAGAAAATAGAGTATATAAGAAGGA